CAAATATCTCGTGAGCCCTTGGGTCAAAATTTACAAAATTAGTCTCATTACATTCGAAGGAACATTCTGAGTCGATTGATATCCAATTATCCCATATTCGCCATTTTGGGTGTCGGTCATTTTGAATTTTGTCCAAAAACACCATATTTTATGAACGCACTAAGGTATTGTCACCAAAATTGGAATGCATGTTCAACTCTAAGCCCTGAAAGTGCTCAAAAATTTTAGAGCACCTTGTGGTCAAAAGTTATAAAGTTATAAAAATTTAGAAAAATGCTAATAAATTCTGATGCAATAACCTTATTGTCACGTGACTGGTCTTGATAGATTCCCTGGAAGGTCGTGCATGCATTAAAACCAAATTTTCCATAATTTGACCAACTTTCTGTTTGCCATTGTTATGCCAATGAAAACGCTACTTTTTCGAACTCCTAGACTGTTGGTCCGATTTTCACAAAATTTGACTTTGAAAATTGCTGCTTGCAGCTGTATTTATTATTATTTTTTTTGCACAGCTCTGATCACAGCATTATAAGGAGGATGAGGTCTGGACTTTGACTGGACTATTGCAACCCCTTGTTTGTTTTCCTCTACAGCTGTTCGGATGTAGGTTTGCAGGTAGACTTGGGGTCATTGTTTTGTTGCGTGGCCTAATCTTGGTGAAGCTTTAGCTGTTAAGATTTATTCATTCATTCATTTTCTTGTCAGCTTAGTCCTTTTATTAATCCGGGGTCGCCACGGCGGAATGAACCGGCAACTTATCCAGCACGTTTTTACGCAGCAGATGACCTTCCAGCTGTCACCCATCTCTGGGAAACATCCACACACACATACATTAGGGACAATTTAGCCTACCCAATTCACCTGTACCGCAAGTCTTTGGACTGTGGGGAAAACTCGAGCACCCGAAGGAAACCCACGCGAACACAGGGAGAACATTCAAACTCCACACAGAAACGCCAACTGAGCTGAGGTTCAAACCAGTGACCTTCTTGCTGTGAGGTGACAGCACTACCTACTGTGCCACTGCGTCGCCCCAAAATCAGATTAATTCTGTAATTTCTAGTCAAACTCATGTCTCATAAGTTCAGCGTGTAGCACTAGCGGTTTGACTTCCTTCATTAAACAACAACAGCATCATAACTCGGTCCAGCAGCATTAGTAATCTGCAAAAGATGACCTTGGCTTTTAGGATCATGTGGATGACACTGCTAAATCAGAGGCTTCGCTTACTTAAGACAGGGCTGCCAGAGAGCCTGTCGCACTGAATTATTTATCAATTAGATGACCGTTAGAGGGGACAGAGAGACGACAGAGGGGACAGGAAAAATAACAGCACTGTGTGTGTGTGTGTGTGTGTCTGTGTGTGTGAGAGAGAGAAATATGTGTAAGGGTGTGCTGGCAGATAAGAGTACATGTATGTTATGTATGTGTGTTTGCGTGAGATGCAGTTATCTGTTGGAGGCTCTTTATTATGGTCTTGCACAGCTTGTCACTGCATAGACTTGCTGTTAATGCAAGTAATATACGTTTGTATGTGTGTACTTCTGGGGTGAGAAAAGCCTTTAGGTAAGTGTGTTTTCAATTCATTCATTCATTCATTTTCTTTTCGGCTTAGACCATTCATTAATCCGGGGTGGCCACAGCGGAATGAACCACCAACTTATCCAGCAGGTTTTTAGGCATTGGATGCCCTTTCAGCTGCAACCCATCTCTGGGAAACATCCACTCACACTCATTCACATACACACACTCATACACTACGGACAATTTAGCTTACTCAATGCACCTGTACCGCATGTCTTTGGACTGTGGGGGAAACCGGAGCACCCGGAGGAAACCCACGCGAACGCAGGGAGAACATGCAAACTCCACACAGAAACGCCAACTGACCCAGCCAAGGCTCGAACAAGCGACCTTCTTGCTGTGAGGCGAAAGCACTGCCTACTGCATCACTGTGTTGCCGTTTTCTATTCAATTCAATTCATCTTTATTTGTATAGTGCTTTTACAATGTAGATTGTGTCAAAGCAGCTTACATACAGAAGACTATGGTGAATACTAACAGTGTCAGTCCAGCTTTCAGAGTTTAAGTTCAGTTGTCTTTGCAAACATGCTAAAATGCTATACATGATGGCACATGCAGACACTGATAAAATGAGGATGTTACAGTTCCAGGTTATCAGTTTCATCAGTCTGAATGAAACAGAAAGCCATTAGTCAGATTACTGCAAACAAGTCCTGAACACCAGCAATTCACCATTACAAACTTATAACTTCACAAATACAGTCTTTATATAGCATTAGAAGCATTTGTCAAAGACAGTAGCCTATTAGGGAAGCAAATGGAGAACTTCATGACTTAACTTCACTTCTGTGTCTTTATTATATACACGGTACAAAAAATCTATGATCAATTAGTCCTGACAGCATATGTTTTAGTTCCTTGTAACTTTAATCATGTTCTGACTTAAATTTATAAGTTACACAAGCTGTTAAGGTCAGTTTAACATAATATAATTTCAATGGAACTCAAGAGATTAATTTTATTCAGCTTAAAAATTTAAGGCAACCAGGATTTGTACAGTGTAGTTAAAAGTGTCATTTTGATAGTTTTGTTTTCTCTTCACAAATCACAAGTGCATTTATTGGCATTGCCTGATTTCATACATTGTCAGTTTTCAATAAAACAATGTATAATGAGGTTTCAGTTTTTATTTAAGCTGGCAGATGTAGTGGGCAGGTGCTGTAAAGCCTTTTTGAATGTTTTTGTGCAATTCTGATTGGAAATTTCTGTGCAAAATCATAAGAAATACATAACTTGAAATGATGCAGGCTCTAACCTGCACATATCAATCATCAACAGTCTTAGATGGAGTATATTTGTAATGATAAATTGCCATTATTTTTTACCTTTGAAGCTTGACTGACATGATTATGGACAAGGCCTTTTTACAAAGGTATTTTTCGCTCAGTTTTTGTTTGACACAATCCAGACTTTTCTTCTCAGAACTTTAAGTTAACATCTCTTAAAATTTTTGACATGAATGTATAATTCTGAAAAACATCCCAATTAGCATTTTTTGCAAGTCCTAAACCCAGACGTTTATATTTCAAACTTTTTAGTTATAAAAACGTTTTTGAACCTTTTCAGCCAATGATAAACTTCTGATGAAAGGTTAATGTGACTATTTTCAATTTCATAAGGTTTCTTTTCCAGCATCGATGTTATAGTGTCAATAAAATACATTCAGTTAAACAGACTTAAGGATTTTTATAGTTGTTCAACCATAAAACGAGATAAAAAGACTAAACGCTAGCACCGTCAGGATCATCAGGCAAAAATCTTAATTGAAAATTCTGGGGTAAAATAAACTGTCATATTTCAAAGACATGGCAGGGGGGAATGGAATTTAATGCAGTGGTTTTTGTTCAGTCTAAGACCCACTTTATACCGTATATCCATCAGGTAGTGAAGATCACTTATTTTTAAAGAAATCAGACCTTAAACGTGGCAATTTCATAATAGAAACACAGTTCACCCGCAGAGCTGAGGCTGGCTGGCTGAAATGAAAAGTCTCTGTGCATATACCCCATTGTGAAGGAAAGTTTCAGAGGTCTAAGCTCTGATTCACCTCAAATGCAGCCTGGATGGCATGAAGAGGAGAGTCCAAGACTTGTGTCAGCAAGTTGTATAAACTTTCAGTGAGAAATACAAGGCAAGGTTTCACTCTGGAATGAGAACTTTCACATGTTGATGGAGTGATGGTGCCAATTGACCTGACGCTGTGGGTCATTCCCATAGATATGGTGTGATGTGACACCAGTTCAAACCTCTAGCACCATCAGGTACAGCATACTGATTAAACTGAACATAGAGTGGTATTCACTGTAGCAGGGTGTCTCACTTCATAATAGGTGTGGAAAATATAGTCTGTTTGACATTACGGAGGATTTCTGAGAGGGCTTCTACTTGTGATTTAATGGAATTTAGAATTGCAGCTATTAATCGTAAAGTATCATGAAATCCCCATTTTTCAGTTCAAGTCTACCTTAGAATACAACTTAATTGGGCATGGGAAGCTGTGAGCAGGAGAGAAAAAGGACAGCGAAAATTCATCAGTGGCCCTTACTGACCCAATAATATCCAATTGCGGATCTGCAGACACAAATGTTTCAGGCCACACTAGATTGAGACCACTAGATTTAGGTTTCCAAGTAGGAGGGGCATTTCAGTTTCAGCATCTTATGCCGCGAGTAGGTTGGTAAGTGTTACAGCTGCTGCTAATGAGAATGTGCAAATACATATAACATCTCATTTGTGCACAGAACAACAATAAATACTGTTAATTTTTTTAACTTAAGAGGTTCCCAGGTAGCAAATAATTCTGGCCCAGGCATTTAATCAGCAATGGCATACAGCATGTGGGCCAAACATGGGTCAGGTTTGGCAGAATTGGCACTGTCTTTAAGGTGGCGCACATGACATGGGCCGGATGTAAAATGTAGTATTTGGCCCAGATGTTAAAAAATTGATATGTGGGCCATGTAAGTTTCCTGACCCACATTTAAAATACAATTAATATTAATATATGTTTTATTAACCAAATTACCATTTTACAAATCATACTAACCTTTACAACACAGGCTCATTCTGAAAAGAAAGTCCTGCGGACATTTCTTGAGAAGACCGTGAATTATGTAGCCAGAGGTATATATGGCTGCATTTAATTTTTTAAGAGAACACTACCGGCGGTATGGCGCTAACCAGCTGACCGCTTACTTCTGTGTGGAGGGCTTTCCCGCTGCAACGAGTTTGTCCAGTTAGCTTGTCGTGTACGTCGGTGGACTTGAGACGCAGAGAGGAGTTGATCATGACGACGACCGGGTTCAAATACGGGAAAGAGCGGTTCCTGAAATTAGGTAAGACAAAAACAGAATCCAAAAATTAAAATGAACGAGTGAACAACAGGGTGAGAATGTGGTAAAATCAGAAAACATAGTTGAGAGAACATATTGTCCTCTTTTTAGTGTGCTTGCAGCTACGTGCAGAAGTGCTTGTGGTTTTGTGTATATGTGTGTATATGTCAGAAATATGAGGCCATGGTCTGGTTTCAGTCTTGCAGGTGTTAGAAATATGAGACCATGGTCTGGTTTCATTTCGCAGCTTCACCCACGCTGGAAAATTCCACTATGCTCAGATATGAAATATGCTGATTCATGTTAAGACAAAATGCTGTATGACTAGCCCATATTTGGAGTGCCTTTCTGCTATCAGCCCCTGTGTATAAATATCCCTGTCCATCCTGTGTTGTCAGGCTTGCAGAATAAACCATTCTAACTACAGTTTGGTCTCTTCTCATGTCTCCGGGTCGACCTGCTGAACTTTGCTGAATCTGGTGCCTAATATAGGGGAAATCTTACAGATCTGGGGGCTCGTCCGGGATACATCTGATCAGGTAAGAGAATTTTTATTCACACTGCCTGCTCCGGTGTATCTCAGGAAATCGTAAGATTTTAGTTACAATTGAGTTGAGAGGTCTGTGTTTTAGAGCACAGAATATCCTGGCAAGTTTACTTTCCACAGTAAATTGCCCAGAAGGATTTGTGTTGTCGTACCCAATTAAATTTGGGTTCCACAAATCAGAAAAATTTCTTAATTCGACACTGGTTATCCTGTCAAGTTTACTTCAAACAGTAAATTGCACAGAAGGATTTGTGTTGTTGTACCCGATTAAATTTGGGTTCCACAAATCAGGGGTTTAATAAATTTTAGTAAATAAGTATTACGCACCAGCTTCAGCAATATGGGACAAGGATATCCAAAACCAGAACCCAGTGAGAGTCCAAAAGCAATGGATGGATAGATGTGGGTGGGGATTTTACACTGAACCCTGGCTGTCCAATTTAGCTGGATGGACAGAGGGACAATCTCAAATGGAGAGACTTTCCTAGGGAAGGAACATTTGACCCAGGTTTCCTTCAGTTAGCTTACAAATTGATATGGGGATCCAGAATGTAATGACCAATATATGATGAATGGATATGACACATGGTATAAAATGAGTTCTATATGGAGGGATATAAAAAAAAAAAAAAAAAAAAAAAAAGGGCATTTTTACACCCAAAACTGTTTTGAAATCTGTCCCCAAACCTAAAAGCAGAAGTAATACTGCCCTTACGGCAGATAAGAGAGGCTCTCTTGCAGCTGCTAAAACCACCATGACGTCACCACTCCCTTATACGGGGCCTTTGCAATCTATTTCATGCTCTGTCAGTGTTCCTCCTACAGTCCTACAGTGCCTTCTATTTATCCGTCTCTGACAGAAATGATTAAAACTAAACCAGACCCCTCCGACAGCACGGAGGGCACTACTTCAGCTTCTAATGTGGCTGCGGTATGGGTTGCTAAACCACGAGGGATAGAGATAATTCCGCCCTCACCCTCTGTTCTGAAGGATCTCATATCTCTTCTGCCCGAAGTGGACAAACCACTGCAATTTGTAGACATGCTGTTGCGCAGCTCGCGTCACTGCCAACTAATTGGGGCAGATTATCGATTTATCCTTTAAACCAAAATGGGTTCGTCCTATGACGATGACGAAATAACAACAAAAATACCTGCTCTTGATCCCAAGCTTGATATAGTACAAACAGAAACTGTTAAGGAAGAAACAGATGATAAAAAGACACGCACTCGTATAAAAACACGCCTCGCGTAGAAAGATGATCAGTAGGAGCTCCTGACACATCTAAAACAGCAGCTTACTAAATACTTAGTACCATACTTACTGGTCTGAATGTGACGCAACGACTGATCCTAATGGAATAATGCTAGATGGCAAGGGCCGTTTATGCCTGCCATCATCCTGTGCACCTTTTCTCGTCCGCGAGTTTCACGGTGTTACACACCGCGGCCGAAGAGGGGTAATAGACACAATGAGTTAATAGACACAATGAGTTAATAGACACAATGAGTTCCTTTTTATGCATTAATAATTTACAACATCATGTTAATAACACCTTAGATAGATGTCTGATATGTGCGCAAAACAATATCACTAAACCTCAAGCTAAACATCAACAATTGCCCCTTCCTGAAACACTTTTTCAGGAATGGCAGGTAGATTTCACACATCTGCCAAAGAGGGGTCCTAATAAATATTTACTGGTTTTTGTGGACAAATTTTCAAAATGGGTTGAAGCCTTCCCATGCAGTAAGGAAGATGCTAATACAGTTGTTAGATGTTTGACAAGAGAAATCATTCCAAGATACGGTATACCATGTGCCATAGACTCAGATAAGGGAACCTCATTTACTGCGAAAGTAATACAAAATCTAGCTAAAGAACTCCAAATTAATTGGCAGCTACATATTCCCTACCATCCACAATCATCTGGTATAATAGAACGAACTAATAGGACTATTAAGGACAAATTAAGAAAGGCTATGCAACATGCAGGGCACTCAAATTGGCTCGCCTTGCTACCTCTCGTTTTGGCAGACATGAGGATGTTTCCTCACAAAAGTCTTCACGGTCTCTCTCCTTATGAGACTGTGATGGGACGACCCTTTCCCTCACCATGGAGGCAAAGGGGTACCACACTGGGTGACGGTTCTCTGGATATTCATATGAGTGAATGTGCACAACAGCTACTAACAACATTGCATGCATACTGGACTAACATACATTCTGGTTCAGCCCCGATGACGGTAGACCCAACACACCCCTTTAAGGCCGGTGACAGAGTAATGATTAGACAGCTCAATAAAATGAGCACAGAACTGGGGGACCCCAAATATGGCCCCCCGACGGATGTCGTGGCTGTAACCAGAACCGCCGTTTTAACCTCCTCTTCTCCACAGTGGATCCATGCAACCAGGATAAAACGAGCACCTATTGAATAATAAAAATGTATAAGTTTTGTACTATGATAATCTGTCTGCAGACTCTCTTTGTTTTACAGATTTTGGGGGCCCCCTCAGCACAGACGACACCTCTACAGCTGCAATTCACCTCTACAGCTGCACAATTGCGTTTGGGAGACAGATGGGAGCTAAACACGTAGCACTGTAGCACTGTCTACCTTAAGGCAAGGGTCAGCATGACTTCCTTTTTGCTGCGGACAATTGGACTGTTTCTCTTTCTTGTGACTCAAGCTAATGCTGGACACATGATCATGAATTCGGATGGGCAGAGGATGGGGCTGACAATCCTATTGGAACTAATATGTGGTATCAATATGTGAAAGTTTTAACGCGTTCTTATAATGTATCTGGATGTTATGTATGTTCTGTTATGCCTCATTCAGCCAAACAAACCCCTCTTTATGCCAAACCCATGAATAAGACCTCTGCTAAATGTTCTGCCAGTTTTGCAGGATCAGGGTACCAGAATCCATATATAATTGTCGATGACTACGATCCATACCGGATTGGCATTAGAAATGGTACATGTGATGCTCTATTTTGGGTAAAATTTGGCCACGCTAAACCCTCACCTATTAGCCACAAGGTTTTTTATTAACCACTCTATTACACACCCTGTGTGTTATAACCAGACCATGGGCTCTCATTTCATGGGAAGCACTGTTAACTGTCAACAAATTGCCTCCTCGGGAGAGGGGGCCCCAGTCGACATCTCAGGACCCTCAAACGGCACTTATGTGGTCCAGGGTGGGTGGTGGTTGTGTGGGAAAAACGCCTACATGTCCCTACCGGCCAACTGGACGGGGCAGTGTGCCCCTGTGCATGTGACTGATCATACTTTTATTGTGACAGCCCAGGTCCTGTCAGCGCAGCGAAGAGTTAAACGCAGTGTCCCTGAAATGAAGCCCCATGACTCTGTATGGGGTACTGACGTGCCCGAGGATTTTAAATTATGGACCACTGGTAACAAAGTGGTATTGGCTCTATTTCCGCAAATAGGTGTGGGAAAAGCTCTACTAAGAATTGAGACCCTGGACTATCGCATGGGCCTATTCCTGAATGCCTCAAAAATAATTAATGAGGCCCAGAATAAGGAGCTGGGTAATATACGTACCATGGTTTTGCAAAATAGAATGGCTCTAGATCTCTTAACAGCATCCCAGGGGGAGGTATGTAAATGAGTACTGCTATGTCTACTCTCCAAGGGTTAAAAACTGCCATGACTTCAGATTATGTTCCCGACACAACTTGGGGTTGGATGATGGGTCTGTTCGGCTGGGTGACTCCTTTCCTTACTATGATAATTCCTGTATGTATTATTTTCCTTCTTATTTGTTGCTGTGGCCCCTTTCTTTTACAATGTTTGATGAATCGTGTTTATGCTACCATGGATAGTATGGTGGGCCAAAACTATAAACTAATGCGTTAGGCCTTCGGCCTAAAAGAGGGGACTGAGAGAACATATTGTCCTCTTTTTAGTGTGCTTGCAGCTACGTGCAGAAGTGCTTGTGGTTTTGTGTATATGTGTGTATATGTCAGAAATATGAGGCCATGGTCTGGTTTCAGTCTTGCAGGTGTTAGAAATATGAGACCATGGTCTGGTTTCATTTCGCAGCTTCACCCACGCTGGAAAATTCCACTATGCTCAGATATGAAATATGCTGATTCATGTTAAGACAAAATGCTGTATGACTAGCCCATATTTGGAGTGCCTTTCTGCTATCAGCCCCTGTGTATAAATATCCCTGTCCATCCTGTGTTGTCAGGCTTGCAGAATAAACCATTCTAACTACAGTTTGGTCTCTTCTCATGTCTCCGGGTCGACCTGCTGAACTTTGCTGAATCTGGTGCCTAATATAGGGGAAATCTTACAATAGTAAAAATCAGACGTTTTCTTTTTTCTGGATGGCTTTTGTAAACCGTCGTCTGCCTTTAGGGAAGTAAGCGGGCGGGCGGGTCAATCAGTAAAATTGGTTGTGTTTAGGGAAGGAGGAGGGTGAGTCGGTCGATTGGCCGGTCGCCCAGTCAATCATTCAGTCGGTCGACCGACAGCGGCCTCTAGTGGATTCACGCAAGAACAGCGTGGGCACAAACGGCACTCGCAAGAGGCATTTAAGATGTCATTGAGTGGTAGCCACTGAAATAAAACAAGTAAATGGTCATTTTTAACCATTATACAAAACCATCACATGAGAGAATACATAAATCAGGTGCTTTAAAGACACAAAAACATCATGCTGTGTGTGCAGAAAGATGAATAGAATAATAATGAGGTAAAATGAATGAATAAAGTGCACTGAATTCCCTGAGTGACTTGCTCAGCACTTTCCTTACACTCATCAGTGGAATTCTTCAGTGCTCATTATTACAGCCATGCATGAGTAATAATCACATGAACAAGGCAATTCAGAGCTTAAACGGGCAGTATTAATGAAAACATTGGATAGACTGACTGGACATAAATGACTTTACACCTAAAGTCTTCTAATTCAAAACCCTCATGAATAAAAGGCTTGTTTATGTGGTTTATAGTAACCTAAAAATTAGTGTCAGTCTCATGTGTGCTATAGAAACATCAAATGAAGCCACAGATGTGATAAAATGCGGGATCTGAAGGTCTCACCCCCTCAAAGCGAGTCTGCGGTTGTAAAGTCAGCAGGCATTTGAATCAAGAGCTTTAAATGATTGTGACAAGTCTTTACTAACCCAGGGTTAGCACTCACATGCAGGCAAACACGGCCAGTAAATTACTCTTATATTCATATTCACAAAACTCAAAGTGAGTTGTAACGTCCTCTGGTGATCTCAGTCGCAGTCCATTAGGTGATTACAGTGACACTGCACATAAACAGACACACACACAAATGTGTCTCAGGAGAGGAAACATGGCATTGGATTTGCACAAACACAGGCTATGACTGCAGTTCTGCGTGCTGCTCTTTTCTTCTTCCTCCTGTCACTCTCAGATTGTGTTAGGAAGGTTTGTTGATGTAAAAATAAACTAACTCGCTGGTGAGTTTCGCCAGTGTCATACAGTACGTCTGTGACACAAAGCAGTACCTGGCAGGCCGTCTGCAAAAGAAGAAAACTGAAAAAAAAATTTGAGAAATAAAACTAAAATAATCAGCAATACTATGCAAATTAAGTGTTTAATTGACATTTGTCAGGATCTCTGAATATACATTATTAATAAAACTTTTGATAACTGATGGCATTTGTTCCAAATGTAAATTACAAATGTTTTTATTTAGTGCATTTGTTGCATAAAATTAATATTCGTCAACATAACAAAAAGATCATGTTTCAGACATTTACAATCATCTTTAGATGACACAATTACAACATTTTAGTTTTTTCAGATGATAAAAAGCATTTGTCCAGCCAGTTGTCACATTTTCAAAACTCTAAAAGCCATGTGCCAGCCATGTTGATCATAAGCACGTGATCCTCTCGAAATTAGTTTATAAATAAACCGCACTTCCAGTCTGGCTTAGACTCAGTCGCAGGGGTTATTTTCCTATTACATTTACACTTAAACAGTAAAAGGAGGACTTTGGGGAGTGCTGTTGATGAAACATGTGGCCCAACCCTGAAGATCACACACTCTCAGAAATAAGAGTACGCAAACTGTCACTGGGGTGGTACCTTTTTAAAAGATACACATTTGTACCTTAAAGGTCCATAATAATACATCAAAGGGTAAATATTAGTACCTAAAAAGTACAAAAGTGTTCCTCTTAATTTGTAGGTACGAATATATACTTTTGAGGAACCAATATGGAACCTTCAAGTACAAATGTGTACCTTTTGAAAAGAAACCTCCCCAGTGACAGCTCGTGTACCTTTATTTGTGATAGTGCAGAGATCAGACAAATCTATTTATTTTGTGCCTTTTTTAGATCCCCCATTTTTATCTGAGATTTTTACTGTTCCTTTTCTTTGTTCCGAATGCAGTAGTGTGCTTTATGGCTATTTTGTTCACTGTAAGCAAAAGTGTAAAATGTTTTCGGTTCTATCATACCATTTCTACTGTACCTTCTGTAGTAAACAGAAAAGGTTAAAAAAAAATGTATTTGCTTTTTACTGGAATGCTTTTGAATGTGAACATTACAGTACATGTGGACATACAGTTCTCAACCAAGAAATTTACTGTCCAAATGGTGGATTGCAAGTTTTGCATACAAATAACTGTAAAACTGAAACATTAAAGTCTCTGCCATTTTTGTAATGTCAATAATAGCCAGTATTTTGAGTACTTTGATAGTCTGCATGTACCTTGTAAAGTGAAAACAAGTGCCATTCTTTCACAGAATCATTTCATTTTGAGTCAGATGTCCAGTGTTCTGGAAGAGTTAGTGTGATCAGAGAAAGATGTGCTCTATTTTGAAGAGTTAGCATATATTTAACAAAATGTATTTTTGAGAAGAAAATTATCCATTTGGACAATTGTGTTTCGAGGTGTGAGTCTGTGTTAAGAAATCTGAGGTATGGGTAAGCGCTTGTTAGCTATTGACAAAAACTGTAACTAAAAAAGCACTAGGGAATCACTATTTGGTGGATTTTTAATCACAATTGATAAAAATATTTGTTATTACTACAAAATTTATTACTTATTACTTCATACTTTAAAAACAGAAAAAATGTATTTCAATTCTCAAAAAGGGAAATAAATACATTTCTAATTATTTCTAAATAATAATAATTTATCTCTAAATATCTAAATTTAAAGGAAATTCATTCATTCATTCATTTTCTTTTCGGCTTAGTCTCTTTATTAATCTAGGGTGCCACAGCTGAATGAACTGCCAACTTATGCAGCATATGTTTTACAAAGCCGATGCCCTTCCAGCTGCAACCCATCATTGGGAAACACCCATACACGCCCATTCACACACATACACTACGAACAATTTATCTAACCCAATTCATCAATAGGGCATGTCTTTGAACTTGTGGGGGAAACCGGATCTGGACAAAATATTCTCAGACTTTTAAAATAAAACAAATTTTAACATTTTACTCAAACCATAACTAATAAATCACATGCTTACATTGTAAAATGTTACAAATATATATGTAATTTAAGAAATCTATTCCTACAATTTACATCACTTCAATCCTAAGGGTTATGCTGTCCTTCTAAAATACTTTTGATATGCTGATTTGATGGTCAATAAATATTTGTTATTATTTAAAACATCTGTTACTGCTTGCTACTTAAAATATCTGTCAAAAAAAAAACTATGTAATTGTGAAGATTAGCAAGAAATGTCAGTTTTGTTCAGTGTAATGTTTAGTTGATGAATTCAGTAAAAATATAATAAAGAATCAGCTAATTATAATGTGAAATAAAGTGTCAGTATATCTGTAGTATGTCACAGAGTGTTTCATCATTTAGATTCAGACTAAAAGAGAGGAAGAGAGAGTGTGATTGAGGAAGGAGAGGTTTAGGGAAGAGACAGAGGACAGAAAGAGCAAGAGAATAAACAGAGAGGAAGGCGGTCGGCACGTTAGGGAGGGAGATCCTGCGGCGCAGCTTCAAACAAAAAGGCCCAGTATGAGGGAGATCACTGATTACCAGTCTGCTGGTTGAGCCTCATTAAATCCCTTCTCTCTGTCACTCCCTCTTCCCTTCCGAAGCTCACACACACTTCTCACCTCCTCCTCTGACGCTCACCATATGCCCACACAGCCGTGGCCGCAGGTGCGAAGAGCACAGGATGGAGAGACTGTCAAGAAACCTGCAAATCTACACACACACAAAAAGAAGAGAACTGGGAGAACACAGAGAGTGATCAGAAATCATTTTGTATATCACAAGACATCACCCATTAAAGGGCAATTGCAAAAGCTGAAGGCGACAGGCGAATGCGTTTAATATCACTTATCTCTACATCATTACACAGACCGTGAGAGGAGAAACGAGAGGTTGATGTGTGTGTTTTGCTGCTGGATGTTTGAAATCTTTGGTCAGGCCTGATACTAATAGCAGTGTTTGTGAGGAGACCATCCGAACCACTGGAACTTAGAGGCCAGAGTTTCTGGACAAACTATCCCGAGCTGCTGCAGGTCAAGCTGACCCTCTTAAAGGGACAGTTCACCCAAAAATGAAAATTTGCCACATTATTTACATATCCTTAGGATATCCGAGATGTAGGTGACTTTTTTCTTCTTCAATATAACAGTAAAGAACAAATTGAGTTAAATGCAGTTGGCGACTCATAAAATACAAGGCAGAGACATGTTTGCACATGTGAATGTAAGGATATCCACAAGTAATCCTCATTTAGTAAAACTACTAGAATTATTAATCTACAACAATGGTCATAGCGGTCATTCTGACTATTCTCATATACTGTAAGAAGCCATACTCCCATGTTATATATAGGCTACTGTAAGTAACAATCTAATAGTCATCTTAGAAAATTGAATTCTTAGATTTAAGGTGATTAAAGCCCAATCCCAATTCTACCCCTTAGCCTTTCCTCTCATTTTGCGTGTTCTTGTGGAGGGGTAGGGCTGTCTCTTTAGCTTGAAGATGTAGGGATAAGGAGAAGGGGTGAATAGCCCCTTGAACAAAGATTTTTCAGAACCACACTCGAAACCAAAGGGTAAGAAAATCACCCAGAATACACCAGCCACAATGGCAGGATAGTTACACCCGGAAGTCAGGAAATCTACAAATTAGTTTTTTTTGTTATTATTACGATTTTTTACAACCAACATGTGTTTTATTATATTCATAAGCACGTATACATGTTTTACCGTCATGTTTAAAAACAAAAAAACACTCA